CGTGCACTGTTATCACGGACTCATTATTGGTCACTGAACACCAGCACACAGTGGGTCTTTTTGAAACACTACTAGTGCTAACTAGAGGACTCCATTTTCTTCTCTGGCTAACTGGCCTGACAATCAAAGCACAACACATTAACAGTTAAACAAATTGCTGCCCCAAAGCTTGATGGTGCTTAGGAAGGTTGGCCATAAGTGAATCCATTACTTACAAAAGGGTTGAACAAAGGGTTACCATTTTACAGAAAGGTATCTTTACTGTTAATGCTCCCCAGTTTTTGGAGTAATTCCTCAGAGCAGAGGGAAGAGATCTGTCATATCCCTGTTGTCACTGCCTGGGAGTATGAGCGCTGCACATCTCATGGACTATTACTCTGCGTCGACAGTTCAGTTTAAAATGCTAATCTGACCCATACCAGCTATGCAAATGCATGAACACCATGTAACCATCCCCAACATTTCCAAACCTGGGTATCCTACTTTGTCCCAGGCAATCTTTGCAAATGTTTCACCGTCTTAAGGAGTGGAAAACATCTAATTGAAATTTCCCTTGCTGTAATTTCATCCTGTGGTTCTTATCTTATCCACCATGGACAGAGAGAACAGATTACACTGCCTTGAAGCACTCTTGTAATTACCTGCAGAAGGATCACGTGATCTCTCAGTAGTATCTTCTCTAACTTAAAACAGCACTGGCTTTTGCTCAGCCTTTCCCATAAGTCCTGCTGCTTGTGTCAAGATGGGTCTACCTGCTGGATAAAGCAAAACCACAGAAGTCTATGTCCTCACTAGAGGTGAGCAGTGATTACTGGAGCTGCCTGTCACCAGTATGAGGAAAATGTTCTAGTTTCACAGACCATGTATTTGAACAGAAATTGAACTAGAAATACTTAGTTTCAAAAACCCAAGTTCTTCTTTTGCCTCTGTCTGGTCCTAGGCAAACTGAATTGCAGTCCACAGCTCTTTCACTTGACAGACAAGTCTGTTTAACTTGTTTATCTTATCATATTGTGACCAATGTAATATGAAGTTAGAGACTGGGCAGATGTTGTAAAGTGTGATGGATGACAGGCTTCCACGTGGATAGATATTCTGTCTTTTTTATAACTGCATTAGAGGTCTACATGGAATCACTGAAATATGTACTGCCATTCAAGACTTGCACTTCAGAGTGGAACTTTGCGTATTATCAATTTTCTTTACCAATATTGGTCAACAGACTTTTAAACAAAGATTCCCAAAGAATTTTATCCACTTCCTAACTTAAAAGAAGACTTAGTTTACTACAGTTTTAAAACACTAAATTGTTAGAGATACCTATCTACAGTAACAATCACAGAGGCTGTCATTTCAGAGCATTTTCTGAAATATTAGTGAAGGTATATATTAAAAGACTGCAGCACTTCTTGGTTTTTCTGTTTTTTGAAAGAATGAGTCTCACATGGGTTAGCTGATAAAAAGAAGTCGGTACTTTTTTGTAAACGGAGTGGGTGCTGATGTACTTCAGAGTACCCAGGTAAGCCAAGCCTACTTGTAAATGTTCTTCACGCTGTGTTTTCACTCAGTTCATACCTGCCTACCTATAGTTTATTCAGGCAACCACAGTTGCTCCTGCAGTACCAGGAATGCTGTGATGTGTCTCAGAGCCCTTGTTGTCTAATACTATTGGGATTGCTTTGAGGAGAACAGCAGCAGAACTTGTCTGTTCTGTTCCTGGTTTTCATCTTCTTAGACTATCAATTTATTTAACCAAGTTACATCCTGCTCAGCACGTTCAACCTGCGTTCACTATAGCTCTCTCAGAGGTAGATGAAGTCATCCAGGTTTCAGCTGCATCTCAGGATGCAGTTGGAAGGAGTGATGTAGTAAAGAGACCAAGCTGGCCACATGCAGAGGTAGCAAACAACTACTGCAACAGCTGCAGATTTCCAATGTGCAATTAATAGACCTACAACTTATTACCATAAACAACAGCAGTGCCTACTGAATTTTGGCAAAAAACATTGTAATACAGGGGTATTTCTCATCCTGCAGTACCAAGATAAGCAAGTTTTCTAGGGTGTCAGGAAAGAGCAATGAGGGCAGAAAAAGAAGTCTATAATCAGTACTCATTTCAAAGCAACTACAGGGAAAGGAAACTTTGAAAGAAGTTATTTTCTGCAGACTGAAAGAAGGAACTACCTTTACAGGTATGTGAAACAAGACTTTTTCTACAGGAAACAGATCTTTATCTAAGCATTGCATTAAGAAAAGCAGAAGGGAGAGTTGAGTTGTTGGAGTAGTTGATTCAGCCTTGCTCATAACTCTCATCCATTATTTTGGGGTCTTTTTGTAGATTAAAAACTCTCCAGAACTTACTTCCAAACTCAGGATATGAATTAGGGCAGAGGAGTTTGCTTACAAGAAAACGACTGGCTGTCTTTAAACCCAGGGAGGCCAAACAGGCATCACAGAGTTCCTTTCATTAATGCAGCCACTGGTATTTGTGCTACAGGCTGTGTGGGACAGTGTCATTAAGGAGTATTACTGGTATTACAACGAGACACAAAGAACAGAATGCCTAAAAATTGCATGTTTGCTGTGTGCTGCCATGGGTAGTTCTCCACTCAAATGAACTAGGCCTACATTAAATCAGCAGCACTCTCATCTTGCACTGGGCATTGAAGAGGACATGCTTAGCTGAGCAACAGGTGTAACAGTGATGAGTGGGACAGCCAGGGCTTCCCAGCAGCACAGGCTTCCCACGGCACAGCAGCAAGGCTGTGAGGGGATGCGCTTCTCTGAGAGCAGCCTCCTGGTATTCATCTTGGGTCCCAGGTGGGAAAGGGGGAAACAAGCCATCCAAGAACATATTAGCCTCTCCCACCCTGACAACATCCTTGCTTCTTCTCTGGGCTGGAAAAGGCATGGCATAGCAAGGTAGGAATGAATGAACGTTGCTTTCCCCAGGAAGATGTCTTGTGTTAGAATTCATCTTCCTCTGCCAAATCTGACGTGATGAGCAAACATGATTTCAGAATAAAAGTGCAACCTGTGTTTGGCCAAATCCTGGAGAAACACTCACTTTGCACCTCCAAAAGTGAGTTTATTATATACCGAAAGAAAGGCAAATAACTAACAGTAACTAACAGCAATAGAGAGGTGTAGCCTAAGAAAGGAAGAGGATCTGGCTTCCCCTCCCCCCTCCCCCCCATTCTTTTTCAGCTTTAATTTTACAGGGGAAAATGTTAATTGAGATAATATCTGTGAAGTCAAAAGTCAACCCAGCTGGGTCTTCCCCATGTAAACCTTTATCTGCATAATCATGTCAACTCTTTTCCTGCACAGACCTTACAGTTCTCAGCTGCATTGCATTTGAAATACCCACAGTGGGAGAAGCCACCATATGTTGCCCCATCTGTGAAAATGTGCAAGCAGACATTGTTTTTTTCTTGTATAATTAACTAAAAGGGGATTAACTAAAAGGAATATTTCACTCTCAAGTTTTAAAAATATTCTGTGGAGATATTCTAAGGTGAACAATAAAAATTACAATGGTCTAATAAGCACAAGCAATTAATAATGTCTTTGAACATAATATTCAAGAGCTGTTGATACAAAAGATTGGGTTGTTTTTTGTTGTTGTGGTGGTGGTAGTGGTGGTTTTTTTTTTCTTTGAATCAGAGGTCTGGAATAAGACTATTTTACTGGACAAAAAAATTAAGGCAATTAGAGGATTTGAGGCATGTGTTGTCTTTAACATCTCTCTTCCACTGGAATCATTACAGATTTCACAGGGGAAAAAAAATAAAGGAAAAATCTTTTAATCAAGCTTTTAATGCCTTTAAAAAGGACAGGGAATACTTGAATACTTTCTTTTGGACTTTGAATTCAAAGAGGCAATGAAGCCTGCTGCACAGTTCATGATGTAGCTACCTGTGGGATGAGTGGAGACTATGTTTGATACAGTAGAATTTCCTTCCTCCTGGTGCTTATAAAGATTAACACAATGGGCTGCGATAAACAGCATCAGGCTCCAGTGCTTTTAAAAATGTAGCAGAGTAAAGCATCTCTCTAATTCATTTCAAGATACTACGTGCCCTTACTCTCCCCTTTATCTTATTCCAATGAGGCCCTAAGCCAGGTTGGACAGCTGTGGGCTGTAGTCAGGAGTTGTGTCAAAACTCAGCCTATATTTAGGGTGTGGAGCGGATAAATGCAAGCAGACCTGCTTCCCAGAGAGGGGAAGCACAGTGTCACTATCACACAGCCTTCTCCAGCAGAGGGAAAACATGACAGCAGGTGTCTCATTTTCCATTCCCTGTCTGGTAGGGCATCTGAACACAAACAACTGTGGCTTAAGCACATCCCCATGTGCAAAGAACACAACCATGACTCTCCTTGGTGTAATGGCAGAGATGGCACTGATTCCAGTGGTTGCCACTGAATAAATGTTTGCAAACAGTACAGATTGTTTAGATGAGGTGAGAAACAAAAAGTGGCCAGGAAAAACCTGGAGGAGAATGTTGAGTTTGGTAAGATGTTTCTCAGATTTTCATATGGAACAGCTGGGAAGATGGAAACAAGAGGCTATTTACATGTTCAGGCCTAATGGGAACAGACGGAGAGGGTACATCTCATGCAGGAATGCTGCCTTGTGCGTATGCCAGGAAACCACTGACTGCTTGCTCACCCAGCAGCACAGCTAGCGAGGTGATGGGCAGCACGTAGCACGGAGACTCGTGGAAGCACAGTGACAGAAAGCCAAGGGGGAACGGCTTTGAACTAAAAGAAGGGGGAGTTGGGTTAGATGTTAGACACAAATTCTTTACCCAGAGGATGGTGAGGCCCTGACACGGCTGCCCAGAGAAGCTGTGGTGCCTCATCCCTGGAGGAGCTCAAGGCCAGGTTGGATGGGGCCCTGGGCAGCTGAGCTGGGGGGGGGCAGCCCTGCCCACGGCACGGGTTGGGGCTGGGCGGGCTTTGGATGTCCTTGCAACCCACAGAGGGAGGTTTACCTTCCACCGCGCACGCACACGCCGACACGACACCACTCGCCGTAGCACCGCACTTTCTCGCGACGAGCTTTGTCTCCGCACGGCCGCCACTCCCTCCCGTCCCACCCCGCGAGCCACGCGCTGTCAACTTCCAGCTGCCCCGCCTCCCGCCGCCGCCGCCATGCTTTCCCCGTCGGCCGTCCGCCGGCCCCTCGCCGCCGCCGCCCGCCTCGCCCGAGGCAGTCCTCAGGTACCGGGCGGGGCGGGGGCTGCGGGGCGGCCGGCCGGGATCCATTTTCCACTCCGGAGCGCGGTGCCGAGCGGGCAAGGGCGGGCGGTCAGCAGAGATGCGCGGTTGTCGGGATGGAAGTGCGAGGGGGCGGCGGGGCAGGGCTGGACCGCGGGGTGCGCGGCGCGGTATGGAGAGCTCCTAAGTCGGAGCTCTCCGATGCGCGGCATCGGTGGCGTCCGAAGCCGACACGGGGCCGAGTGCTGCTATTTCCTCATCGCAGAGATGGGTGCCGTGTCTGTTCGGCTGGGACAGTGAGCGAGCTCCGGGACTCCCGTGAAGCGTTGTGCGAGGAGGAGCTGTGGTGGGGAAGCTGAGCCCCGCGCCGAGCGGGCTGTTCTGCTTCCCCTCTGTCGTCGGCAATTTGTGTTTTCAGTTCTGACCTAAAGCAGTGATTCGAAAACGTTCTGAAGTAGTTAGTCACGCTTCCCTAGCGCTGGTTTAGTCTGACCAAGCGCTGGGCCAAACAGGGCCAGGAGGAGCTTCGTCTCCTTGAATCTGAAGGTAATGAAGGCATATTAAGAGGCAGATTTCAAAGGGCAATCATCAGGATGCCTGGCTTGCTTTTGTACCCAAATGCTGTCATGGTAAGAACACATCCTGCAAATAATGACACTAAGAAAGTTGTGAGATCGGCGCTTATCCCACTCCCATTGCTCTGTTTTGATTTCCTTAGCATCTTTTCTGTGCTGGGGTCTGTCTGTCCCAGCAGTTCTGGGAAGCTCCTGCTTTGGTACAGGGTAATAATTAAACAGTTCATGGGAAAGGTAGAGGGCACATTGTGGTTTGTTGCACTGCCAGAAATGATTGCAGTGAATAATACACACAGGAAGTATTTCCAAAGGAAAAAGTCACAAGATACTCTTGCAGCAGAGGTTTCCAAGCATTCTCAGCCTGTAGTAAAACAACACCTTTTTGTGAAACAAACAAAAACAGTCTAGTAGGGGGACAGAAGATAGTTTTCTGATTTGAGAATTAGTTCTACTTACTTTTCTTAACATTTTCTTCTAGATACTCGCATCTCTTGCTACAGGACCCAGACAGAATAATGGCATTTTCTATGAAATTCGCACGTATGATGTTAAGCCATCAAAGATGAAGGATTTTGTGGAACTGGTTCATAAGTACCTGCACCTCCGCACAGCTCACTCAGAGCTAGTGGGATTCTGGACAGCAGAGCTGGGATCAATGAACAAGGCTGTGCACGTCTGGAAGTATGGTATGCTCAGCACTGCTCAGAGTGTCAGAAGGCAGTACCATGAGTACAAAAGCTGAAAAAATCCACACCGTAGTGCAATTTTGGTCTGGTGGATTGATTACGGCTGTTCTTGAAAGTGGTCTTTCCTCTGAGCAGGTGTATAGAATCATAGAATCACCAGTGTTGGAAAGACCTCCATGATCATCCAGTCCAGCCTTGCACCTACTATTTTCCTCACTAAACCATGTCCCTTAATACAACATCTGAACATTTCTTGAACACCTCCAGGAATAGCAACTCCACCACCTCCCTGCACAGGCCATTCTAGCTCCTGACCACTCTTTCTGAGAAGTTTATCCTGATGTCCACCTTGTATCTCCCCTGGCACAACTTGAGGCCATTCCTTCTAGTCCTGTCATTAGTTATGTGGGAGAAGAGTTGTAGAGAGCGATAAGGTCTCCCCTGGGCCTTGTCTTGTCCAGACTGAACAAATCCTGTTCCTTTAGTCGCCTGCATAAAACTTGTGCTCCAGACCCTTTGTCAGATTTGTTGCTCTTCTCTGAACATGCTCCAAGGACTCACTGTCTTGTAATGAGGGGCCCAAAATTGAACACTTGAGATTCACCCTCACCAGTGAAGAGCACAGTGGGATGATCACTTCCCCACTCCTGCTAGCTATTTCTACAAGGCAGGAAGCCATTGGCCTTCTTGGCCACACTACTGACTCACATTCAGCCAGGTGTTGACCAACATGCCCAGGTCCATTTTTTCCACATTCTTCCAGCCACTCTGCCCCAAGCCTGTAGTGTTGCCTGGGGTTCTTGTGGCCAAAGTGCAGGACCTGGCACTTGTTCTTATTGAACTTCATCCCATTGGCCTCAGCCCAGTGATCCAGCCTGTCCCAATCACACTGTAGGGCCTTCTTACCTCAAGGCAGATCAACACTTCCCAGAGACCTGGTGTCATCTGCAAACTTACTGAGGGTGCACTCAATGCCATCACCCAGGTCATCAATAAAGATACTGAACAGGACAGGCCCCAGTACTGATCCCTTAGGAAACACCACTTGTGACCAGTCACCATCTGGCTTTAATTCCATTCACCATCACTCTCTGGGCCCAGCAAAGAGTGTACCTGTCCAAGCCACAAACTGGTCTAGGTAAACTATGTCCCTCATCCACCAAGTGGGTCACTTGATCATAGAAGGAGATCGGGTTGGTCAGGCGGGACCTGCCTTTCATGAGCCCATTCTGTCTGGGCTTCATCCCCTGGTTGTTCTGCATGTGCCGTGTGATCTCACTCAAGATGATCTGCACCATAACCTTTCCTGACTGAGGTCAGGCTGACAGGCTTGCAGTTGCCTGGTTTCCCCTTATGACCCTTCTTGTAGATAGGTGTCACACTGGAAAGCCTCCATTCTTCTGAGACCTCTCAGTTGACCAGGAATGCCAATAGATGGTAGAAAGCAGCTTGACTGTCATCTCTGCCAGCTTCCTCAGCACCCTCAAATGTATTCTCGAGGATCCCCGTGGACTTGTAGCAGTTGAGGTGAATTGTAGGTCTCTTAACTGCTTCCACCTGAATCATGGGGTGTTTATTCTGCTCCCCATCCCAGACTTCCAGGTCAGGGTAGAGTACCCCAGGGATAATTGGTCTGACTTTTAAAGACAGATGTAAAGAAGGCATTGAGAACTTCAGCTTTTTTCTTATCCTTGTCAGTCACATTCCCTGCTACATCTGGTAAAGGATGGAGATTCTCCTTAGCCCTGTTACTGTTAATATATTTGTAAAAATGTTTTTTGTTCTCTTTTAGCTCAGTAGCCAAGTTTTAGTTTTCTCCCTGCACATCTTAACAAATTCTTTGTGTTCTCCCTGATTTGCCCGTCCCTTCTTCCATAGGAGGTAGATTCTCTATTCTGGAGACTCAGGAAAATCTCCCTGTTCATCCACACTGGTGTTCTTCCCTGCTGGCTCATTATATGGCACAGAGGGACAACCTGCTCCTGTGCCTTTAAGACTTCCTTGTTGAAGAGCAACCAGCCTTCCTGGAACCATCTTCTCTTCATGACTGAATCCCAAGGGACCCTCCTTACCACGATCCTGAATAGTTCAAAGTCTGCCCCCCAGAAGTCCAAGGTAGAAGTTTTGTTTCCACCCCCACCCCCTGACTGTACCATTTCATGGTCATTCTGCCCAAGGCAGCTCCCAAACTCCTCATCTCTCAGTCTCCCACCAGTCCTTCTCTGTGAACAGCAGATGTAGTGGGACACCATCCCTGGTAGGCTCTCTTACCAGCTTCTGTACAATCTGGAACCCCCTAGGCTGCACTACACTGTATTTCCAACATGTATCAGAAAAGTTGAAGTCTCCTAAGAGAACAAGGGCTGGCGATTGCATAACTTCTGCCAGCTGCTTGTAGAACACCTCATCTGTCTCTTCATCCTGGTTAGGAGGTCTATAACAGACCCCCACTAGGATGTCTGCCTTGTTGGCCCTTACCCTGATCCTTATCCATAGAGATTCAACATTATCATTCCTGCTCTCAAGCCAAACAACACTGAAACACTCTTCTAACATAGAAAGCCAGCATGAGATGAGCTGCATAAGAGTGCTTTGTTTATAGTAGGTTCCTCTCAGGTAGGGCCAGCTCCTGAACAACACATCTTCCGAGTCTCAGAACAGATGGGAAAAGAATTGAGACTTCCTCAATAGGATCACAGAGTTATAAAATCACTTGAGTTGGAAGCGCCATCTAGTTCAACTCCTCTGCAGTTAATATGGACAGTTACACTTGGATCAGGTGCTCAGCTCCCCGTGCAGCCTGACCCTGAGTGTCTCCAGAGATGGGGCATCCACCACCTCTCTGGGAAACCTGTGGCAGTGCCTGATCACTCTTATTGTATAAAAACTTGTTTACAGCCAATATAAATCTTCCCTTTTACTTTAAAACCATTTCCACTTGTCCTATCACAGCAGTCCCTTCTAATGATTCTGTCCCCTTCTTTCTTATATCCTCCCTTTACATTATGCATATGCAAATTGTGTAAGTGCAGATCATATTTATGCAAATGCCTGTGTTTGTTTATATGTATGTATAATCGCTCACAAATTCTAGTACAGCATAGCATCAGCCCTATAAAACAAAACAGCATGCAGTTTGTGTGGTTAAACTCCTGAAGCTACACTGTGCTGAGCTGGAAGGCTGCTCCACAAGTGTGATCATCCCATATGCATGGAGTGCTGTGTTGCTGCTTCAGCATTGAGAGCAACAGGCTTCTGACACTGCAGTCATCAACTTTCTGAGCTGGAAAGTGCTGCTGAACCATGAAAAAAAAGCTGAGAAAGGGTGTGCTGGCTGTGTTCTCTGAACCCAAGGGTTTATGGAGCCATGGGAAGGCGCACTCCTGTCATTTCTTTGTGTATCTGTAGGGGGGGCTTACCCGTATACTCAGAACTTTTTTTTACAAAGGTAGCAGTCTGCTCTTTGAAATAAAATATTTTCACAGTGCCTTCTTAAAGTGGTGGATCGTCCTTCTGTCCTCAGGGGGAAGGGAGTTGCTATGTGCAGACAGGAGTGAGTTTACATGTGTCTGTGGTTCAGAAGATGTTCTCCTGCTTC